TAGGTCCTTCATTCAGCACAGTATTACTTCAGTTACTCTGTTCATCTTGATATATCACCAGACTAAAAATAGAATAAATCTGGATTTCAGTTAAATGGGATTGACCTAATGTAAACTTTCACTGTGACCTTGACACAAAACAGTAAAAAAAACAAAAACTACAGTCAAACTAAAAACAAGTAAAATACAACCACTGGTTGTACTTTCCTAAAAACAGGTAACCACAACCACTGGTTGTACTTTTTTAGGTTTAGCAAACTGGTCTTCTTCCTTCATTTTGGAAGTCATCTCTCTGGATCTCAGTTGTAGATAATGTTATGGTTAGTGTTATACCAGCAGGGGGCAGAACAAAGAGCGATATGGTGGTTTTTAAAAAGACAGACTCACAGATTTGTTACTCTGTTCCTATAATTCAGGTTCCCAAAGAGTAATACTGCAATACTGAGCAGCTCACAGATTTGTTACTCTGTTCCTATATTTCAGGTTCCTTTTGTTAAAAGGTCAAATTACATTTTGATTTTAACGCTCTTCGTCTACACCACTAGGGACATCCTTCCTCCCTCTGGCTGCCTCGGTGGGTCAAGGTGAGAGCAGGAACGTCATCCAATCACAGTCAGAGTCTCCAGTTAATTGTGAACACCTGCATTCCTCGTGCTTATCTGTCAAGGTGGAGAGCAGTTCCTACCATCACTGAGATCATGGAGCGTATCTAAGGAGAGGACTGAGGTGTCTCTGTTACAGGTGCAGGTCAAGTCCAGCGTGTGACCTGTGTTACAGCAGCCACCACGGGCTACAACCATGAAGGTGCCATGTTGGAAAAAAGACTAAAGTTCTTCATTAAATTTAACCAGAACAAAACCAACTGAACGACTGGAGGTGAACAGGAGGGGGGAAAAGAACGACGTAAAAACTAACAGAGTTGTGGTCAAGCTGAGGTATTCTGTTTGATCACAGCTGAACAGGTTTCTCTCTCGTGTTCAAACAAAACCTGCAGAACAGATTATGTGAAGTCCCTGTTTTTGATTTCATGAAATTCCTTTCAGAGTATCCCCTTTATAAAGTGTCTGTGGAATGGCAGAGCCTGCTCTCAGGGGAATACCAGTATTTCTCTGAATTTAATGTCAAGGTGAGGCAACACACACACACACACACACAGAGAGAGAGGAGTTGAGTTGAAAATGTTAAGGACAGATCATAAGGCCAGCTGGCAGCGTCAGCTCCACATTCTTTGCTCCTCTCGGATTGATCCGATGCTTATCTGTCAGGGTGGTGAGTAATTCCTACCATCACAAAGGGAGATGGGTGCAAACGGAAAAAACAACCTGTGCTGACATTCCACACATATTCCTCCAAAGTGCAGCGCATCTGCATGGAAAATGTTATTGAATGTTTTCGGCCTGCGTCTCACATGTGGACAGGTTCCCTGTCACGGAGAGCTCGACGGCTCACACAACACAGTCGGGAAACTTTTCCAGCCTCTGCAGGTGAGAGCATCCAGACGTGGCTGGAATTATTCAGGCACGTAGGTGGTAATGTGGCCTACATGACCTCAGGAAACCAGACAGGTACGCCGACGGGGCATGTCCTCTCTTGTCCCGCGGTGCAGCGCATGAGTGTCTAATTTAAAGATGAAAAATAAATAGGCCGATGTTGAAGTGAATAAACTGAAGGTCTGTGAGGGGAAGAATAGAAGCTACAAGGTCTAAAACATGTCGTTAATCATCCGCCAGTGAGAGCACAGGTAGATGACTTTCTCAAAAATGTACCGGGGGGGTGGTCGAGAATTTGAAGCAACATCGTTAAAAAATACATCCGAATGAATCAAATCAAATCTAAAATGAAAATAGATTTAAAAAAAATGAGTTTAAAAAATCGTTCAATATTTATTTTTTCACATTTAGTTTTGGTTCAAATTTGGATGCGATGATTTCACAATTTCGACAACACTGGACAAAGTCAAACGCTTTATAACAGTTCAGTACTGTTCAAATGGTGGGGCGGGGCGCGGTGAGGTGCCATGGGGGCGTGAGGGCCTTCCAGTGGAATATGACACGCTGGACATACTGTATGTGTACCACTGCTGTAATGCTTAAATGATGACAAGCCTCCAGTCACTAGGTGGCAGCAACTCAAACAGTGGTTTGTACAGATAAAAATATACATGTTATCAGGTTCTCAATGGTATTCCAATTTGCAGGGGCGTGAAACTATTTCTGTCCTCAAGGGGGGGCATGACAGAAATTAAATTGAGAACCACTGCCTTAGTTCAACATCAGTCTCAGAACTCTCCGACTTTCCGACTCGCCCTCGTACGCTCAACATCAAATCATGAAACCGCTGCCTTTCACTCGTCAGCAGATTTGAGATGTGACCACGTTTGATGGACAACCATCATTTCCAGGAGGAGGTGATCTCAACCTGGATGAAAGTGAGAGCGAAGGCGTGTAAACACCGGCACAACAAGCCAGTTGTCGGCGTCGCCTGCTGCTCCACACAGTAGGCGTGTGTGTGTGTGTGTGTGTGTGCGTATATTTGGAGGGTGGGAAGGTCATGGAAATGTGGGGCATCATTAAGCTGTCACACTTACAGTAAGGCCTCATAGTTCCTCTGTGTGGCCGGGCTACAGCTGGGAGCCAGCTTCCCCCTATGTGTCACTACAATAACACACTTAGACCCGGGTTCACACTCGGGGCCAGGGGCTTTATTACGTTTGCAAAAACCGTCCACAGGGGAATGAGTGTTAAAGCTTCATGTAATGGGGAAAAATAACAGCGAGGAGTGCATTATGTAATTTGTGGTTAGCTTCGCTCTCAATCAGCATAAAGAACGGTGCACTTTAGAGAAGCTGTTTTGTTTTAAGCGCAATTTAAGTTGTGCTCTGGAAAATTGGGTTCAATTTGTGCGCAGGATTTAGCTGATCTCCGGACTATTACTGCCACACACTCAGCAATAAATCACCAGAGCAGCGCCGCGGCAGAACACTGCATGGCGCTGGTACAGCTTGGCTCGGTCAGATCTCCGGCACCTCTGTGGTAACTCAGTCAGCGTCAGCCTTTCACGGCGACCTTTGCCCCACCTGACTCGGCACCCTACGGTCTCCTCCACAGAGTGGTGAGTTAGCAGGAAGGAGCCTGATGTAAGCGCTATTTGATACACTGAGGTTTCCCTTCCATTGAAAGCTAAAGGGAATTTCTTTTCTAGTGAGAAGAAAAAGTGTTAGCTGTGCAAAAAAAAAAAACAGTCAGGGAGCAAAAGGGGAAAAATTTGCAAATGTGTATCCAGAGAACAATCGGAACGTTATTGGTGGAAAAACTGGTAATGAGTGATAAATCACAGGCCGGGTCACACGGGCGTGTTATTTACAGTTGCCTTAGCGCGTGCGCTCATGCACAAGGAAACAGATAACTGGTGACCATATGTGGCCCACGTAGTAGGTCTACTTTACCACTGCAAACACATGTAGACCGCTACTGTGTTGGTTGGGATTTGGTAGAAAAAGGAAAGGAAAGTGAACTCCTCGTCATTGTGACACAGCTCACCACCATGTGACCTCTGTTTTTAACCCATCACCAGAGTGAACAGTGGGCAGCAGTGTGTGGCGACGGTGCCTTACTCAGAGCACCTCAGTGGTAACTTGGCAGCTGGTGGACTCAAACCTGAAGCCTTCCTGACCCAAGTCCGCTTCCTTAACCACTAAGCCACCACTGCAAAAAGGGATAATGACTAAAAAATACATTAGAATTGTGGCCTCCAAACGGCCACAGACGATAGGATAAAACAAAAACAAGTTCACAGTTATCCACCGACATTTTTAAAAAAATAATTATTTTACATGATTATATGAACATTCTAAAAAGGAATGCAGAGAATAAAAGACGTCACTCAGAATTCTTCAATGGCGCATAGTTTTTTTTCCTACTTTTTCCCAGTGACTTTGTCTCCTGTATAGATAATCCTATTGGCTTCAACAATTGATGGAAATGTAAAAAAGAGAGAGAGAGAGAGAGAGCAGGCGAGAGCTTTTTTGTCCCACAGGTGCAGTGTGTGAGTGTGTGATAGTGTGTGTGTGTGTGTGTGTGCTAGTGTGTGTGTGTGTGTGAGTGTGTGATCAAATCCCCATTCAACAACATCAAAGAGTCTCTCTTAAACACAGGATCACACCCACACAGCCACCGTGTCAGAAACACAGCAGCACACGCCTCGGTCTCATCAAACTCCTTGTTTCCCCTCTTGAAACAAGAACAC